AATGTTTTACTAATGTTTAAAAACAACCAGATCAAAAGGTTAATAGTACCTTTATTAATTAATAAAAACAACCCCATCCAATCTTTTATAGCAGAAATGTTGTTATTAATTAATAAGATCCCAGTCCTTGTAAATATGTAATAATGTTATTAAATAAGTAAAATAAAAAAAAACCAAACAACAGTGGGTTGATCAAGGACAACAGTTTATCATGTTAATGCGCGTTTGTCAATAAATGAATTTAGATATTAATTAAGAAATTGAACCGACCAGTAACAAAGAATTAAGAAAAGTAAGTAAGAACGCATGTTGGTTAACACGCTCATGCTAAAACTAGTCATGGACCCATTTAATATAAATCATAAACTAAACAAATTAAAACTGCTGGTCAGACTAACATGTGGTTCAATTTTATTTCAATAATTCGTTTGCCGGTCTTTAGCAGTGGAAGTCGGAGGACCCAAAGAAAACCCACGAGGGTGGATAGGCGACCCAACCCCTGTCGTCATTTGGGCGTTAAGTGCCTCCTATGCAAACTACACTAATGTGAAAGTTGAATCTATTAAAGGGATATCAGTCCAAATGAATCTGTTCAAGGGATTTCACTCCAAAAATTGTTTATTTCTGTTTAACATATACAAAGATATGATGGACTGAAATTTCGACATCCTTTGCAGACAACATAAACAAGCAAGTGCCACCTATAGGTGTTGGATAAAATCTTTTACTGGGACTCAAGTGAATTTTTTTTTATTATAATGAACTGTTAAATCCTCAACTGGGCCCTTATTCACGAAAACTTAAACTAAGTTACAACCGAAATTTTAAGAAATACTGCAACTTCATTGGATATATGCAAATTGATTTTACTGGTCAGCCAATCGAATTGCAGTATTTCTTTAAATTTCGATTGTATCTTAGTTTAAGTTTTCGTGAATAAGGGACATATTAACTTGAATTTAATCGTGATAAAATAGATATACAACAACAAGCGTTATTTTGCTTAATTTATTAGTAAAATAGTGAACGCTGGTCGCGTTAGAGGAGATGCCGTTGATTAAACAATATAATTTCTACGGGGAAATTTATCGTGACCGTTTACAAGGAGATGTCGCTGAATAGGAGTGACTGCTCATACAGATTCTACTGTAGTCCCAAAAATGGCATTGACTATCAGCGACTTTAAAAGTTTGTAAAACAAGTAAAAAGAAATGTCAACTCATCTCGTTTACATTCAAGCCGATATAATATCTGCCGTTAATTATTTTATTTCTTCTTGGTTAAATAACCAATTTGACTATTTTTTACTGTCAATTTAGTCGTAAAAAACTAAATATAGTCCAACAAAGGGCGACTTTAAAAGTTTTTAAAATAACATGAATTTAGCCGTGAAAAATTAAATATAGTCCGATTGCTGGTGACTTTAAAATTTTTAAAAATAACATGAATTTAGTCGTGAAAAGTTAAATATAGTCCGATAGCTGGCGACTTTAATTTTTTTTAAAATAACGTGAATTTAGTCATGAAAAAATAAATATAGTCCGATAACGTGAATTTAGTCGTGAAAAGTTAAATATAGTCCGATTGCTGGCGACTTTAAAAGTTTTTAAAATAAAATAACGCGAATTTAGTTGTGAAAAATTAGATATATTCCGAAAAATATAAAATAGATGAAGTGTTTGAACCTACCTCGTTTTCCATACCAATGTGCATGCGATACAGACACAATCGTTAAAACTACTGCTAAAAGAACCACACTGTGTCGAACCATTGTCAAAATTTAAAACAGTGCACGGCTTGCTGCTTCAAAGTCCTTGAGGTTTTATTCTCTTTCTAGAGATTATATTAACAACACAGCTCGTCTTTTCTCACATATTAAAACTTTCTTATCACGCGGCCATCTTTATAGCATTTACCTCTTGCGTTTACAAAACGTGGGAGTGGAAGCGGCATCCAATCACAGTTGTCGTTATATCGATGTGACAGTTATTGTTGCTACCTTAAGCTGGCGTAATGGCAATCCTAGAGACGTCAATTTGGTTGTTTTTCGTAAAACGGGTGATTTTTGTGTGGTTCTTTGTAAATGTTAATAAACTGCGAAATTTACGTTGAATAGGTTGGATATTATTAGTATAGGATCGTCATGTTTGACAATATTTGAACAGAATACGGTATTGATCACAGAATCCGTGTTGTTTTGTCTGCAATAACCACGCATTACAAAAATATATAACAGTGATAATATAAAATATAGATAACTTTCAGAAATGAAAATGAAATGAAATGGGGTTTAACGTCCTACTGTTCTGCTCCTAACCTGGGCTAATAAAGACGGGCATACGCCATACAGTGCCCTATGAGGGAATTTTTGCCCGGGCAGCGGCGCTACGGCCTACTCTTATATCGAATTCCAACTGTCAAGGGATCTTTTACGTGTACGCCAATGTGTACACGGGACCTCGGTTTTTCGTCCCATCCGTACGAATAGACAGCTGTCCTTGTCAGGCCCTTCATCCTGCATCACTGACAAGGGGGAAACCACGCCGGAAAATCTGAATGAACTTTCTCGGCCAATGCAGGGATCGAACACCCGACCTCCAGGCTAGCGAGCCAGCGTCTTACCCACTAGTGGCTAAGTGGATAACTTTCAGAGGATATAGAGCCTATTTGCCTAGAATATCTACTTTGGTTTTGAAATATTTGAAAGTAAAAGTAATATTAAAGATGCAGTATGTAGGATTTAGATAAAGAGCTGGTCGTTCTGCTTACAATAGTTCTAAAATAGATAATGCAAAATGAATATATTGAAACTTTCATTCAAATTACTTTATTCTGAGCGAAGCTATCATTGTTTGTAGTTTTGACAAGATTGTTTATTATCGTAACAATGGTTCTGGTTATTCGAAACTTAGAATCACTTTTACATTTTTAAATTAAATCATTAAATAACTGAACGGTTATGATCTACTTAAAATGTTAGACGTCCGATGCACTGGAGGGTTGATTATGGTCTTATCAAGTTAATAAATGTTTAAATAATAGTGTAGTATGCTACATTTGTAGCCCAAATGAAGACCGACAATAGACAGGTTTAGTTCTTGAACAATGTATCTTTAATCCGAACAAAAACTAATAAACAAACATTCTTTGCAATGCTTTCGTCATCAGAAAATTAGGAATTACAATTAAAAAATTGAAAATGAAAATTTTATACGTCTACATTTCAGTGTGGTCGTATTATGTCCTTACCCAGTCCTTCGAGGGGTTGGATTGCCGAATGGTTAGCACGTGCGCGTTGTATCATAAGGTCTGTCATTGAGTCAACTGGCGGGTTTCGATTCCCCGGTTGTAGGTGACAAGGAGTAGGGTTAGACTTTGCATTTAAGTAAACTTATCTTATTTTGTGTTCCCAGAAATTTCTTAAGAACGTTCTTGTGCTTAGATTTTAAGTAGACTTCAGTGTAAGCACAAACACGTTATTATGTGTTCCAAGAAAAAACTTAAGCACAACTTCGTTCTTAAACATTGTCAATCTAAGCACAAGTCCCAAGCAAATACGGCTTGCTTTCCAACCTTAAGTCTGATTCTGCTTCAAACAAGATGGATGACCATAGAGTTATTTGACGGCATTTCCTACATCTACCCTGAAACCATTTTATGTATTTACCAATTAGTAAACAACACAAACACATGGGCTACTTTAAGATCAGACGCTCTCACAATTATTCCGTCTGTTTGCATGTGCTTGCGGTTTTTTTTAGCTTGTGGCACATTTTATATGCGTATAGGGGACAATTGACATGTGGACGTGATAGAGGCTACAATTTTTAACGGGTTCGTTTCAAATTTGATGAGATGGAGAGCCCTATTGATATTTAATGTTCCTCGACCTTTCGTACGAGAGTTAGCACCGTTTACCTAAAACCTTGTGAACTGTCTGCAGTTTTAACGGATTCCTTCAAATTTGGTGTGAAAGGTCGAATCCTACCAACGCGATAGAGACTGCAGATGGTAACGGATTCTTTTCGAATTTGGTGTGAAGCATTGTGATCAAGAGAGTATGAACTCTATTGATATTCAGCGTCCCGATATTTTCTGTACCGGAGTTAGGCCCCTTTGCCGAAAATCTTGTGAATGTGCTAGAGACTATTGTTTTGAACGGATTCTTTTCGTAATCGTTGTAAAGCATTTTGGTCATGAATGGACAATTGATATTTAGCGTTCTGCGACCTTCCATACCAGACACATGTCCCTATGCCATAAACTTTGTGAACGCGAAACAGTCTATAGCTTGGTGGGAAACACTGGGGTCATTAGAGGACTAACTCTATCCATACTTAACTCCCCCCCCCCCCCACACACACAGACACCAACACTCACAAACACACACCCAACGCAAACCCTTTGCCGAAAACTTTGTAAATTCAGCAGATGCTAGAGTTTTTATTTCAAATTTGGTGGGAAACATTATGGTCATGGGAGGATATTCAGTGTTCCGCTATCGGAGTTATGCCCCTTTTGCCGAAGACGTTGTGAACGCGATAGGTGCTATAGTTTTTAACGGATTCGTTTCAGACGTGAAGCATTGGGGTCATGAAAGAATGATATTTAGCGTTTCAATAGTCATAAAGTTAGTAGATTTTGCCGAATTCGCTCTTTAAAATTTTATTATGTCTGTCAACGCACCATTGTCAACATAGACGTTAACAATCCGCCTTACTACTGAGTGCAGGAGGATCGCCCGACACGCAAGCAAAATCGATAATTATATAACAATAACAATAAAAACTTTATCTAATGAGGTAGGGCATTTAGTCTGCAACAGCTAATCTGCCATAAATCCCTCCTTAATGATAAGACAACTCTATGGACAATACAAACGACACAGACATCGCAAAGACAAATCAGAACTCCTGGGGGGGGGGGCTCTGACAACATAAGTTCCGGGCTTAAAGCACGCACGCTCATTGTTGATTGATGACCGATGTTTCTCGTTACAGGAACCACCACGTGATACAGTTAGTTATGAAGAATTTATCATGGACTATCCACGATATCCTGATATATACGATCTGGATATTCCAACTTTAGATGGAGAAGCGTTGGTTGTAAGTAGATTTGTCGATTCCCAGTCTGACAAGGACAGCTGTCTAGTCGTTCGGATGCGACGAAATAGCGAGGTCCCGTGTACACATTGGCGTGCACGTAAAACATCCCTTGACAGTAGGAATTTGATATAAGAGTAGGCCGTATTGCCGCTGTCCGGGCAAAACTTCACTCATTGCACACTGTATAGAGTATGCCCGCCTTCGTTAGCCCAGTTCGGAGCAGAACTGTTGGACGTTAAACCCCATTTCATTTCATTTTCATTTCGATTCCCAGCTTCTTCTTGGGGTTTTGCCGTCTCCTCCGGTCCCCCCAAAATGATCTAATTTGTGTCGAGTGTGTGTGTGTGTGGGTGTGGGAGGGGGGGTATGTCGTCATCATGTCCGCAATTCCACACGTCCGTCAATAATAGCCTTGTGGACGCGATAGAGTCTACTGTTTTTGATGAATAGTTTGCAAATTTTTGAGAAGCAACGTGATTATATCACGACAGACAAACCCCATCCATATTCTGTGACCTTCCGTTATGAAGGCAATAATGGGCGCACTTTGTTACGGATTTTTTATTCTTCAAATTAGATGTGTGGCATTTGGGCCATGAGAGGACAACCCTATGTATATTCAGCTTTAAGTAACCTTCCGTTCCGGAGCTATCATTAAAATACAGATTTATATTTCGTTTCCTGTTTTTATTTTTCAATGACTTCTATTACATGAAGATCTGACCAGTGGTAGCGGGAGGTCGCGTCAGGGGCCACACGGGCAGCTTTTGACCCTATGACGTTAGACATTTGATTAACCAGTCAGCGTTGATGTTTCCAGTGGGTTACCCACAGTTCCATTCATCTGTGTTTTAAACAGATTGACTCATTTATATAATTATAATCGGCCTCCATAATCTAATCTCACGGTGGCTAAGTGGGTATAAGACGCTGGCTCGCTAGCCTGGAGGTCGCGTGTTCGATCCCTGCGTTGGCCGAGAAAGTTCATCCAGATTTTCCGACGTGGTTCCCTCCGTGTCAGTGATGCAGGACGGAGGGCCTGACAAGGACAGCTGGCTAGCCGTTCGGATGGGACGAAAATCCAAGGCCCCGTGTCCACATTGGCGTGCACAGTTGGAATTCATATAAGAGCAGGCCGTAGTGCCGCTCTCCCGACAAAATTTCCCTCATAGCACCATGTATGGCGTATGCCCGTCGTCATTAGCCCAGTTCGGAGCAGAACAGTGGGACGTTAAACCCCATTTCATTTCATTTCATAATCTAATCTTTACAGAAAACATACATTATAATTTCCATAGACCATTCTACCTGAATATCAAAGTAATTTACGCATTTTCCACAAAAATTAAAAACGCTATCGTCGTCTAAACTTGTAATTGGTAGACTAGAAACTGTCTACGTTTCCATCGATAACCATTGTTTATGATAACCTGGAATTATAAATACTCCAAATTCTGTTCTCTCCAAAATCAGTGGCTGTTGAATATCCTAAATCAATTATTGGTAAATCGGAAATATTTGAGGAAGTCAACTGCCCACGAATCCCGCGATATTCTCAACATCTATCCTGGGGCGCAGACATTTGTGTAAATAATTTGACCAATTCAATAGAATCCCCTGATTAATACTACCTTATCAGACCTGTAACAGAGGCGTTCAGCACCAAACTGTCCATGTTCCTAAAGCAACGACCACGAGTTTTACAACATTTAGCTTGATAAGATGTACGTAATTAAGGCGAGATCAAGCCTTCTATTGAAGATGCAAACTGTCTGGCAAGCCTTGTTTAGTTTTTACTCAATAAATAGTTATATGTATGCACCTACGTATATACAGTTCCACCTTGTAGATATTTATCTCTACGGAAACCGTATATCTCCTTTTATCATGAAATCTTGAAGTATTGATTAGTCATTCATGACAATATAGGATTGGATTGTCTTTGATGTTACGACACCTTTTGTTTAAAAGAGGAATTTATCGTAGTCGCCTTCTTAAATTCGTTCAATGATTCAGGCCTGTCTTGTCATCACAACTGGTAGATTTATGAATGTTTTTCAGTCAATCCTTCTCCAGTGACGTAATATATTTGTTCCTTCGCCCAAGATCATGCTATCTTCCTAGTGTTTTAAAGACATTATCATTTGCTACGAATAAGAATATTATCATTAGGCAAGAATAAATACTTAATCATTAGCTAAGAATTAATACATTATCGTGAGCCAAGATTATATAGATATATTATCATTAGCTAAGAATAAATACATTATCATTAGCTAAGAATAAATATATTATCATTAGCTAAGAATAGATACATTACCATTAGCTAAGAATAGATACATTACCATTAGCTAACAATAAATATATTATCATTAGCTAAGATAAATATATTATCATTAGCTAAGAATAAATATATTATCATTAGCTAAGAATAAATACGTTATCATTAGCTAAGAATAAATACCTTATCATTAGCTAAGAATAAACGCATTATACCGGAAGTTTAATTTGGACTTAAGGCTCACAGAAGTATACGGAATTAATATTAAAATTCAGATAGACTTGTCTCACCTAACGTGTAAGGAATGATGATGGACTCTTTTAAGTCCTGAATTCTTCTAGTCTTATTACCGTTACTTATAACACTGTAACGGTAACGGTTTTGAATATATTCCGAGGAATTTGGGGTTATTCTTCTGACAGTTTTTCTTTAAACCCGCTACGGGTTATTCTTACGGGGTAGGGTTTTTTCCATAAGAAAACATGATATAAGTTTTTTCTTACTGGAATTCTGAGATATTCTCATTTTGCGTACATGTAAACATAGACGGTTTATAAGCAAGATAAAGTCCTCGACTTCGGTTATGCTGGGGAAAGAAAAACTTCAGAAAAAGCCCTCGAGTTATTTTGTTCAGTCTTTTTTCTCAAGCATAACCCCGGTCTCGTACTTTATCCTACACATAAATACTTCATCAGCAAAAGTTAGCATCCATTGTGGTTTCGTGGAAGCCTGTTATATTCTCGATTTCTAGCGGTGAGAAGTCGATAGCGAAAGAACGAGAGTGCGAAGAAACGAAATTACTCTTCATTGACTCCCCGCTCCGTCATCCCTCGACTTCTTGCTGCCGCAACAAGCTTCGATAAATTCTTGATACTTAGGATGCCTAGTGGAGTCCTATTGTTTTCATTAATATTTTTATTATTGTCTTTTTGCCAGGACGTTGGAGCTTACTTAAACCCATGTCCATATACTGTGTATCCTGAAGCAACAGTATCCCAGGTCTTTCATTTATTTCGAGGAATGGGTCTTCGTCATTTACCAGTAGTGTGCCATAAAGGAGAGGTATTTAATTTATTTGATTTTTACATCTATCTTATCCCAAATAATTTTCATAATTCACACCTTTCAGCGAAAGGCTAGTTTTTTTAGACGGATTTTAACCTTCAACCATGTAAAATGCTGTATCCTTTCGCGAATTATCAAAAAGGGAAAACGTAACATTTCGTGAAATAAATATTAATATTTTGTAACAAATGAGTACAGTTTAAAATATTCTCAAGTAAATGGGAGAAATCTAAAATATTTGGGAGGATCGTGTATATTTTCAAGTAAATGATGAAAATCGTGAATATTTTCAAGTAAATGATGGGAATATTGGACCCAAAGTTTTAAAATGTCTTTGCTACTCAACTAAAGCTCAACTTGAGGTTAGATCAGCTCGTACTGTTTAATGCTGGTTTGTAGAGTTTTATATTAATAGCTTCCATGATCATTCTTTTCTTTGTATATACTTGTCTTCATGAGCCATCTTAGTGCAGACATTTGTGACGTCCAGTTTCGTTTCGTTTCATTTATTTACAAATTTGAGATAAGGGTAAGTTGGTCCACAGTTACTAGGGTAAGTCGGTTTACCACTACCAGGTTTAGGTTTATTTGATATAGCTAACTTCAAGTTTGGTCAAAGGTCAACAGATGTAAACAAGACTAGGGGTAATCCGAACGCTTACCCTTACACTGGACCTAGCCCTAATGCTCACGTTAACCCTAATCTACAATCTCGTTAAAAATCACGTGCCCTAACGTTATTTACATCCATCTCAGCAACCTAGACGAAAATTGAGCTGGCCTTAACAAATAGATTCAGCCATAAGAGCCCAGATACTAGGGTAACTTGGCCCACAGTTACTTGGGTAAGTCGGTTCACAGTTACTAGGGTAAGTCGGTTCACAGTTACTAGAGTAAGTTGGCCCACTGTTACTAGGGTAAGTTGGCCCACAGTTACTAGGGTAAGTCGGTTCACAGTTACTAGGGTAAGTTGGCCCACAGTTACTTGGGTAAGTCGGACCACAGTTACTAGGGTAAGTTGGCCCACAGTTACTTGGGTAAGTCGGACCACAGTTACTAGGGTAAGTCGGTTCACAGTTATTATGATAAGTTGGTCTACGAGTTGTGTTTGAGTTTAACACCTGCTTCCACCTAGGGCCATATCGCAGACTAACGAGGACAAATCCATGTTTGTATATTCAAAAAAACTGTCAGTCAGTTAATTCAGTTAGTTAAGATGGAATCGTTAAGATGGCCGCCCTATCCATCGCTCATAATTGGCCTATGTAATAGAATTACTCGACTCTTACTATATTAGATTTTTGACGTCTGCTACATGAAATTTATTGACAGCATGGCTGTCGTCTGACAAACTCTATAGTTAGAGAGCCGTCACTGTTATTAATTAGTACTTGGATTCGTCATCATAAATAAAGCTTATTTATTTCGTGTATTAACAAATTTATATGATTATCTAAAGCGATTTGTTCTATACAGGGAAAACCCGCAATCAGCACAATGTATACGATCACAGACTAGCAATTATTTGCCCATTGATTTCAATGTTAAATGGCTGTAACATCACATGCTGTAGCTTTTTGCTCAAAATTCCGTTTGTTCCAATCTTTATAGGGACAATGGGGACCACATCTGGCAATCTCTTCATCATAATTTTGTAGGGGGTTGACCGTTTAGATTTTTTGCTACGGAGATTTGATGTTGACTGTGGTGAAAATCTCACTTCCCACACAATGATTGCTCTGCAGAAAGACACTTACAACCCCCTATCCCTCCGCTGTAAAATCATCTGTATTACCTAAAACTGCTGTGAAATTGCAAGTTAGATCCCTTTTCTCCAATTCTAGACCAAAAAGTCACCCCAAAAATGCAGTGGGGAGAAGAAAATTAAGGGAAAAATGGTCTATTTATAACTCGCACTACATTCATGGAATAAGGGGAAATAATTACTAGTCTTAGTCCACACTGATCCGCAGTGAATATTCGCTTGGCCGCTACAATCACTGATAAGGATGACATCGATGCGACTTAATTACTACAAAATATTAACTTTTTTCTTTCGACAAATTAAATTCTGAAACATTTTGTTTTAGTATTAGAAAAATAAATAAAGGTGTTTGATGTATATCTTGATAAAAAATATTTTATATTTAGCGTAAATAGGTACAGAAAATAGTACGCGGAGGCGTAAAATGGGTTAAACGATATAATTTTGCCCGTACCAGTTCATATTACTACGTTCGATGTAAACAACGCACGTGTGACCATCAATTTGACTTTTTCTGTTTGTTTACTCTGAATTCTTTCAGAAGTACATTTTTTACCGTCTAATCTGATACACCTGCTCGTGTTTGTTTTAAAACAACAAAAACAAGCCACAGAAGTAATCATTTTTGGCGTTATCGATGCCATCTTGCTTTGTTGGTAAACATTGTGATGTGACGTCACCCTTAGAACTACAGCGGTCTGACCTTTTAAAGGTCAGTCATCTTGGACAGAGATAAAAGACAGATGTCGCATTAGGTCTGTAAAACAGATTGGTCTTAGTCCATACTGACTCTGACTCATTCTCTATCTGAAAACGAGATATTCTAAAATTACCATATTTTCAAGAAAAACTTTACTTCAGTTGATCTCGGACCTTAAAAAATATATGAAAGGTGCAGCCCTTTAATTGGCCGAGATCTAATATCTCACTACAACTGTTAGCTCATGGCCAATAAACGTGACAAGGAGTAGTGTAGCCTGTCCAACCTCGTGGGTTTTCTCCGGGTCCTCCGGTTTCCTCCCACTGCTAAAGACCCTTACGAATTATTGAAATCAAATTGAACCATATGTTTGTCTCGAAATGACCTGGTTTGTGTCGAGTGGACGTTAAACCTCATTGCTCTCTTTCACTCGAACCATGCTGTTTTTTGTCCGGAAAACCCCTTTACAGTCCACCAGCTCCGCCGCGCCCTCTCCTCTGCACAGCGAAACAATTGTCGAGGTTTTTACTAATCTGTAAGTTCATTGGAGTTGAAAATTATCAAATTTCTAAACATTATTATGGCATTGCCCCCTGCAACCTCACAATCAGGAAAGGTTGTGAAACATGTCTTTTGAGGCGGAAGGATCAGGGCGTAAACAGACATGTACGAAAATGACGTCACATCCTATAGATTTCATTGACCAGACGTAGAGACGAGCAACAAAATGTGCTTCGGAATTTCCAAGAATATGTTGTAGGTCTAGAAATGCAGGTTCTGGTTAAAGAATGAATTGTTATTTATGTTTTTGATAAATTAGTCTGAGTTCCAGCCGTAAAAACTTTGTTTATCACTTTTTATTTTGTAATTTACTTCTCAGTTCTGGTCTTAATTATCATTAAAAACCAATCTTACAGAATTACGACATTTTAATCACGTCTTCTTCATTGACAATTTACAGAAAATGGATATAGTTTTGTTCGTTTAGATTTAACTGATAATAGACGGTAGTGTGTCACCTGAAAATTATAGGTCTATATTGGGACGCCACGTGACCTGTAGTTACAATCTGTTTCACAGAGAAGTCGCGGCCAAGCAAATATTCACTGCGGATCAGTGTCCTGTAGTTATACTAGGTCTGTATTAGGGCGCCACGTGACCTGTAATTATAGGTCTATTTTGGGACACCAGGTGACCTGTAATTATAGGTCTATTTTGGGACACCACGTGACCTGTAGTTATAAATCTGCATTAGGGCGCCACGTGACCTGTAATTATAGGTCTATTTTGGGACACCACGTGACCTGTAATTATAGGTCTAATTTGGGACACCACGTGACCTGTAGTTATAGGTCTATTTTGGGACACCACGTGACCTGTAGTTATAGGTCTATTTTGGAACGCCACGTGACCTGTAGTTATAGGTCTGTATTAGGGCGCCACGTCACCTGTAGTTATAGGTCTGTATTGGGCGCCACGTGACCTGTAGATAGGTCTATATTGGGACGCCACGTGACCTGTAGTTATAAGTCTAAATTGGGGCGCCACGTGACCTGTATTTATAGGTCTATATTGGGACACCACGTGACCTGTTGGTAATCACCCTGTAAATATTTTCAGAGAGTGAAATGGGGTTTTACGTCCACTCGACACAAACTAGATCATTTCAGGACTAACATATGGTTCAATTTTATTTCAATAATTCGCTTGCGCGTAGGGGTCTTTAGCAGTGGGAGGAAACCAGAGGACACGGAGAAAACCCACGAGGTTGGACAGGCCACCCTTCTCATTGTCACGTATATCTGGGAATCGATACCACGCCAGTTACAACCGGGCTAATGGTAAGAGCCATAGGGGGTACTCGATTGAACGTTCCGGAATTAAATTCTCTCAATCCCAAAAATAGTGACAATCGAGTGGAAAGGTGGATTTCGGGCTACAACGCATGCATCGACTGAGTAAATAAATATCTCAACCAACCATGCAGTTGAAACATATTCGTTGTGTTTAATTACGTCACGATTCTACTCACACCACCTCCGTGGTTGGGACTGGCAGAACTGTGACAGGACTGAATTCCGCGTTACTCGATTGCAATTCTGTCAATTCGGGACTACGAATCGAGCACCCCCTTTGTGTTATGACGGACGTTTTATGTCCAATTCCCCAGAACGTTTTTCTCTTAATGTTTCGTCTTAATTTCAGTTGAAGGGGATAATAACTAGACACAACCTCACTCATGAATTCCTCGAAGAAAAAATTCACGAACAGAACCAGGATGATTAATTTGTTTTTATTTTATATTTGTTAAAGATACATTATGGGAGATTAGATAAAGAGCTGGCAGTTTTCACTATAATAGTTAAAAACTCGATAATGTAAAGGGAATTTGCTGAAAATTTCACTCAAATTGATCCACTATGAACCGAGAATTTAGCGACTGAATTTTGGGCCTAGCCTCGATTATCATTACTAAAGTCGGTATGATAAAAAAAAATAGTCTCGATTATACATTTTTTTTTTTAAATCATCGATGAGCGTTGAGCAGCAGATCGGATTGTAATCCAGTAAATATCGTAGACTATCGATGACACCGAGAGTTGATCATGGTCTGGATAAGTTAATTAATGACTTATCAATAATTTAGATAGCATTTCAGGCCTAAAGAAAGACCTGCTTTAGGCAGGTTTAGCTCTTGCATAATGTATGTTTAAATGAAGATCAATCGTTTTATGTTTTTTTTTTATATTGGTTGATCCGGAATTCGGATATTCACTGTACACACAAGAAACTTACATCGATATATTATAAACTAATGTCCAAAAGAATGTATACGCCATTCATTTCGTGCTGCATGAACAAAAGTCGTTTTCGCATGGTATGCGGTATTTGGGTAGGCCAACAATGTCAATTTGTTTCACATTTTTTTTTTTTTTGTTTAGAAATGTTGAGTTTGGACGCAAGAGAATCAGTAATGTTTTATCAGAAGTTTTTAATCCAAACAAAACTTAGTATTATTTTTAGTGTGTTTACTTTCTTTTGGACAGTATTTCGTTTTGCCATTCCCCCGAGCAGAGTTGTCTTCTCTTGCAGAGGTTGATCACTCCTGGCCTAAAAACATGGATACCTAAATGGAAGTTGTTTGTTGATCAGAATGTAAAAATATCATTTATAAAATTGTCTTTCGCTCATTATCTGTGTTTTTATGTATAATTGACCTTTCAGTCATAGATCTGTAGCTCCTCCCACTTTGTATAATGACGTCACCTTAGACAACATTGACAGGTTGGAATTGACGTATGTTTACAATCAACTAGGAGTGACTAATTCGACTACAGTTTTATTCATTAGAAGGCACATCCCATGGTCTAGAGGGTTGATTAGGGAATTGACATGTGCATAAATGTCCAATTAATAATTTATATAACAGTTGATTCCTAAGATCTAAAATTGGCAAATTAATCTCTTAAATATTGAATTCGAATTCTTGTTGAAGTGACTCAAATAAACACGAAACAAGTTTGTGTAGTGAACGTTTCTTTAACGTATATTATAATGAAGTCACATGAGTACCAAACTTGTACATTTAGTTGAAGTCACGTGAGTAACAGAGAGAGAGAGAGAGAGAGAGAGAGAGAGAGAGAGAGAGATGGGGTTTAACGTCCACTCGACACAAACTAGGTCATTTCGGGACTGACATATGGTTTAATTTTATTTTAATAATTCGCTTGCGCGTAGGGGTCTTTAGCAGTGGGAGGAAACCGGAGGACCCGGAGAAAACCCACGAGGTTGGACAGGCGACCCTACTCCTTGTCACGTACAACCGGGGATTCGAAACCACGCCAGTTGACTCAATGACAGGCCTTATGATACAGCGCGCAGTGCGCACGTGCTAACCATTCGGCAATCCAACCCCCCACGTGAGTACCAAACTTGTACATTTAGATGAAGTCACGTGAATTCCAAACTTGGTCGCAGTGTTTCTTAGCCTTGGTAGCCTTCGGGTGCGCTTGTATGGTCACGACTATACGACAAAGTATAGTTCACTACACCCGAACGGAAGCTAGTTCTACCATAGTCGTCAAAATGGACGCCGCTCTCTTCAATGAACTGCTACACAACTTTTTACTTGACGAAAACGCAAGTTTGCTTACCGAAAACTTTGATATGACCACATCATTCTTTGGAGACAAATTCCCGGAACGTTTGTCAAAAGTTTCTAACTATGTTTCTGTACTAGAGGTAGAATATGATAATGACGATTTCAAGAAATGTATTCACAGCTGAGTTAGTGACTGTGTTATCCCCAGACAATAAAATAAACAAACCATCCAAATATCCAGAGTTTATTTATTTACCGTTATATGATTTATACTTACAATGTTTATCAAACTGATATATTTAATGAAGAAAATCGTTTGTTGGTGTTGCTGTTTTTCCAAATAAAATTCACAAATGGATGAAATATATTTTACTATAATACTGTCACTTTCACAATTTCAATCTGACATCGAATTGATTGACAAAACATGATTATCCACTCTATATAAGATGGCAACTACTTAAATGTGTTAGGCCTATATGAATTTAAATAACTCGCAGGTTCTGGTAGTATGCGTTAAAATAACAATTCCAACACAACATATGTTTTGTCGCGGGCCACCACTTTTAATTTGACTTGACCCGCCTCAGCCGACCTCGAAAGGTGGGTCAACCATGGTCACGACCTTAGTCTAATCATTTCAAGTTCGGGTGCTCATGGTAGAGACTTACTTGAACCATGGTTAAATATTTGAACGAACCGAAGGCGGCCCTTGCTGTTGTGCACGGTTTCGACCTGCGGAGAACCTTGCTTCTCGTTGATAGTGGCCCCGCTTCAACACCGTTTTGTTTATTTGTTATCTTCAATTAAACTGAATTTGAGAAGTCACGTATTTCTTCTAAGAGAAAAGGACCTTCATCTTCTGGGGTACTTGTTTTAAACCATTCGGCTATTCGTTCATTTCTGCTCTCTGTAACCAAAGAAGACAAATGAAGTTGAAAGCTACTCCGTCTTTGATTCAGGGCCATTTTAATCATCTCCCTCTGTTGGCTGTCTGATAAAACTTCAGGCTGTAATAAAGAATAACAAATTCAAACTATTAACTTCTAAAACGTGCAAAAGCAACCGTACAAAACAGAAATTCCAAGATATCTGGTTATTCAGTTCAGCTGCTGAACTTCAGCACCGACTTGGCTAATGAAGACGGCCATGCGTCGTTCAGTGTGCTATGAGGGTAAATTTACTGCGGTCTACTCTTATTTTGAGTTCGGGAGTCACGGTGGCTAAGTGGGTAAGGCGCTAGCCTGGAGGTCAGGTGTTCGATCCCTACATTGGCCGAGAAGGTTCATTCAGATTTTCCGGCGTCAGTGATGCAACGAATTATGACAACAGGTAGATATTGATAATTAAAACACGTTGTATTATTTGACTTGTTTGTAAAGTTGTTGTACGTGTCTCACGAATATTATTATTATTACGGTGGAATGAGAATCAGGTCAGGCAGAAACTGAGAAAGCTCTCATCGTCCTCCTAGTCCTACTCTCGGGCCGTAGCAAATCCACGGTCAACACAGGTAAGAAATAAAATAAGAAGCATCATGAAAATTTGCAGGCACGTGTTGGACAATTACGACATTCAAACCTGTAACATTGGAGTGCCGTAAATTGGTCTGGGTGACCTATTTACGGCAAATAAACAAATATAAAGACCGTAGAATAATTGTAAAATGAATAGACCTAGGCCTACACATCTTCTAAGTATAAATAAACAAAATACCAATACATCTTTCTTTAAACTAATTTGGGATGATAGGGTCTACTACGGCACACAAAAATAAATTATGCCGTGACAGACATGGTTTGCGTACATCGGCTTTTACCATGGCTTTGCCGTTTAATTGCCGTGGTAATTTTTGAGCGCCGAGTTTGTGTACAGAGAAGGACGAGGGGGTTTAAATACGACTGGGCGGCTTTCTTCGATTTTTTCTTTGTGCTGGCCGGCAAAAAATAGTGCCGGGCGCAGGCGCCGCCGAGGTGGCTACATCTTTAAAAATGTGCCTGCAAATTTTTTTTTAAAGCAATTGTGCCTGCGCACGCCGTGCGGATGTGCGCGGAAATATCGATGCCTGCCAATGTGTACACGGGACCTCGGTTTTTTATTGTCCAATCCGAACAAATATACATTGTCGCTTGCCAGGTCCTCTGTCGCTGATGGCCAATGCATTGGTCACAAATACAAAGCTTGACTCATCTGTGCCATGTGCAAAGAACCAAGGCCCTCTTTCTCGAAATCTTAACTAAAGATAAGATACAAATTTTAGTAGATACTTCAAGTTTGATTGGCTAAGCACTAAAAATCAATCTAATATTATCCAATTAAATTACTAAAATTGTGATTTTATCTTAGTTAAATTTCGTGAAACAGGCCCCAGTATTGTAAATTTCTTGATGTAGTGGGGCTTAACTCTACAGTTTTCCTAATTTCGCTATGACAATTCATCGCCACAATTCGCCGTGAAATTTGTATGGACATTTTGACATTTAAATCAACAATTAAGACTCCAGTCCTTTCATCGTTGGAATCCTTGACAGCTGGAATTCGACAACGGGTAGGCGGAAATGCCCATTTTCACACATCACACTGCATGACGTATGTCCTGTCTTCTATAGCCCGGTTGGAGCAGAAAAAAAGTGACGTTAAACCCCATTTCATTTCTATAGATAATGACAAGTATCTGGTATTCATAATATTATTAATATTGCTACGAGGGAAATTTTGCCCGGACAGCGGCGCTATCGTCTACTCTTATTTCGAATTCCAACTGCCAAGGGTTCTTTTATGTGGACGCCAATGTCTACACGGGACCTCTGTTTTTCGTCCCATCCGAAAAACTACACATTGTCCCTTGCCAGTCCCTCGCCGGAAAATCCCGGTAAACTTTCTCGGCCAAAGCAGGGATCGAACACGGGATCACTACGTTATGTAATACTATTTGATAATTTATGCGAAATTGTATTAGACGAATATAAGTGCACCAGAGGACATGAGTTATAATTTGATAAATACATTTGTTTTATTTGTATTCTCCATTGTCAGTATATTAGCTATGATATGAGTTTAATTAAAACGTAAATTAAATTGGTTGTGAAATATTGTGAGAATAACAGGAAAAGGGGTGTAAGTTCAAGAATAGATTCTATGTCTAAACGCATTTGATCGGAAAGTTACCATTTCATATTTGGCATGAGTGACCAATCACATGATAAGTTACATCATAAGTAGCCAATAGAATAATTAATGGCTGTGACACCAGGCAGATTCTAAGAGTGGAGAGACCGTTAAGGTTCAAGATGGCAACCACTATGCCGGCCCCTTTTTGTCGTCTATTCCTTGTGCTCCCTATTTCATGCTTTACTCATGAACGGGGTATGGGGTGACCGAATGGTTAGCGCATGCGCGTTGTATCATAAGATCTGTCATTGAGTCTACGGGTGTGGTTTCGATACCCCACTTGTACGTGATAAGGAGTAGGGTCACCTGTCTGTCTCCTCCCACTGCTAAAGACCCCTACGTGCATACGAAATTTTGAAATAAAATTGAACCATATGTTAGTAACGAAATGACCTGATTTGTGTCGAGTGGACGTTACCCACCCCTTCTCTCTCTCTCTCCCTCTCTCTCTCTCAAGAAGTGAAGGGATTTATTGCAAATCATTCCATAGCCGCTCTACTATAAAGACTTATAAACCTGTACTGTGTAACACGTCATAGATTTGTGTATACCACGTCATATAGGATCAATCGCGTGATAAAACATCATTTACTAAATACTCGTTTTATCTTAAGAGATTTTAAATCCATTACCTGTCCAACCTGTACCGTGGATGTTGACAGGTACAATTTGTATAAGATCAAATCGAATATTAAATATTACGTAAGCGTTTAAAGGATCGTGAAATAATAGACAGGGGCTCTATGGCTAAAAATAATAGGAAAGGCAACCTCATAAATTATAAATTATGGAGTATTTAAAATACGACAGTTTAGAAATATATTACAATAAACTGTGAATTATCTATACACTAGAGGTTTACAGATTATCTGTTATAGTAGAGAAATAATCTACAATGACATACATTAAGCTCATCATGCAATCAAACCACTGACTCGTGGGTGAAGCATAGATTAAACATTTATATTGGGTGTATAATAAAATTCTGTATTTAAAGCCAAGTTAACTGTCAGTAGGATAATAACCTTTTTAAATCAAGTGCAATAGGGTTTAACGTCCTACTGTTATGCACCTACCTGGCTATTAATAAAATCTTGTATTTAAAGCCAAGTCCAACTGTCAGTAGGATAATAACCTTTTTAAATCAAGTGCAATAGGGTTTAACGTCCTACTGTTATGCACCTACCTGGCTATTAAAGGGACAATAACACTCTTGCTGGCTTGACAGCTCCAGAAAATACAAAATAGCCTTATTCTAAGTACTAGATGTGTTAGTATCCTACCTGTTGTGTACATTATCCAGTACATCCTATTTTACTTGTCCAGAGGGTTAGAAAATATTTTTAAATCCAAGTCACATTTGAAAAGGTTTACGTTAGGCTTTTCAAATTACATTAGGCGTTTTTGTGAACCGATTAGATTAGACCGATTAGCTATTATACGCATTTGTGAAGCAAGTTGATTATGCTAATCGTTACATTTGTGAGACGATTTAACTCAACTGATTAGGCAAATCGACCTAATCGTCCCAGGAGGTGTTTAGGCGATTAGATTTGACGTTTTCAAAATGGCGGAATGTTCGACATCGCAAGTAATTTTTAATGCTTATTGTTGTTTTTCTCCATAAAAAATGTTTTTTTAAAACGCATTTGATGTGTTTAAAGTAGCTAAGTCTCTAACTCAATATCATCCAAAATCTTCAACACTGAAAACACGATTTATTTGTCAAATTATATCAACATTCATGTTGTAAACTTAACGGGAAAAGATGGGCTTTTGATATCCAATATTTAAGACAAAATAAACATTTTACCATTGGTACACGAATCGTGTACCATAATGCGCTTCAGCCCTAGTTGTATCAAGAGACTCGAGGGACGAGGCTAGACACATTGCACCAAATCAAACGGCGTATGTAAACTGGAATAACCAGACGTGACGCTAGAAATTTGCACTCGCTTGAGACTGCTGGCTTATTTCGCCGAACATAACGGATTTGAAATTGAAGTAAAAACGGAAACCATTGAATGTAAATCAGTTTATATACATTCATATTACAGTATTATATGCATTGCGACCCACTTTTGTCAATTTCTAGGTCCCAAATGTTAGCGATTAAGCTCCTTTAATGTTAACTTTATAGTCCACAAGAATATTAGATCACCTCTGGCTCTAAGCAATTTTAGGCCCTCTGGGTGCCAGCAGTGTCATTGTAATCTGTAGGTAACTTGGACTACACGTGAAACACACGCCCCCTCGTCATGTTAGCAGAGACATTTTTTTTTCTGATCGGTGTCCCTGATGGCAGCCATCTTACCAAATCGTAATTATCAAATTTCACATTTGTGGACCATAGCTAATCAAATCGAAATCATACCAAATCGTACTAGCAAATCAAAACCTAATCAAATCGACTCACAAAAACGCCTTTAGTTGAATTTTTCCAATTTTTTAAATTAGGTGTGTTAAGATGAAATTTGTATCATCAATTAATTGGAATATTGTAAAATAGTACAATTTGTTGACTAGAATAAAGATTGGGACATATTATTCAGTTACAACAAGGGTGGTATTGAGGCTTTAAAGGCGGGCTTACTCCATACAGTGCGCTATGACGCAACTTCTGCCCAGACATCGGCGCTATGGCCTAATCTGATATCTAATTTCAGCTGAAGTAAAGTACAATCGACACAGAGTTGACCATGTGGGAGCCCACGGGTCAGCAGTATAGACCGGGAGCCAAGGGGGGGAAACCTAGCTGAAAAGTGTACCAATTTTCTCCTATATGGTATCAATGTATGTGTATCTGGTATCATCAGAATGTAAGTCTGCCGGGTTTCTGGTGGTGGGTGTGGTTTTCCACGCCCTAAATGCCATGATCCCCAACTAGGCATAACGCCCCTCGTAGCAATTGCATGGCATGTGCAGGTTTTCATTAGCGTGAAGGGTGGGAGTGGATGGTCGAATGGTTAGCGCGTGCGCGTTGCATCATAAGATCTGTCATTGAGTCAACTGGCGTGGTTTCGATTCCCTAGTTGTACGTGACAAGGATTAGAGTCGCCTGTCCAGCTGTAATACTATAGAGGTTATTTTAGTTCTATGAAAGATGCTCTGCTTAATATATTGAAGAAGTTAAACAATTGGTTGACAACGAGAAATGGGCTAAGTAGGTATTGTTCAAGATTCAACTTTCCTAGACTAAGTTACAGACAGTTATGTCACCAGCAATTGCTGGAAGTAGGGTACTATCGTCCAGCCATCTCGAGCACAGATTAACCAATTAAATAGAATAATGTTGACGTAAAACGGTGCCCATATGAAACAATAACCCAAAAATGGTAATTGTCCTGCCTTCATAAATAATGCGTTTACACTTTACATATAAGAAAGAGTGAGTTTCATTTCACACCAGACATCATAGAGCGGTCCGAGAGGGGAACATCATAGCCTCCTCGACTTAGAGGCTAGGATATGAGATCCTAGGAAGAACATCATCTAGAACTATCAAGTAGTATGTGGCTCTTGCTACGTTTCAGCCATTAGGTCTGAGTTATAAAGGATGTTAAACTCAGACCATAGATATTATAATAATTCCTGATATTCTATCATAGATTCAGTGGTATGCTATACATATATTGTAACCCTTGTATTATGGATGTTGTATTCGATATATAAACCTAGTTACAGCAGTTGAATAATTCATCATTGAAATAATTATGCACAACGTGCTTAGATAGTCACATCTGTCCCCGTAGTATCACACAGCCTCGTGGGATTTCCCCGGGTCCTCCCGTTTCCGCCCACCGCTAGAGACTCCTACCCGTAAGTGTATTATTGAAATAAAATTGAACCAAGTGTTAGTCCCGGAATGACCTATTTGGCATGTAGTGGACATCAACCCCCCCCCCCTCTCTCTCTCTCTCTCTCTCTTTTAAATGAATTGTACCATGTTACGGTGTTGGACCCGAAGTTTGTATCGAGTGAACGTTAACACAGACACTCTCTCCCCCCCTCTCTCTCTCTCTCCCCCTCTCTCTCTCACTCTCTCTCTCTCTGCGGCCTTTGCAGAAAAATAGGACATTAAAATCGATTTCATTTCTTTTTGATATTTTGTACATGTAATATCTGGAGTATTTATTTAGAGAGCCAGTGATTGTAAAACAAGGACGCGATCTTATCTCACCGATCATAAAATATGTAATTAATGGCCATTGATTTGTTTTATAACCACATTGATTGATATATAATAAAACTAGCGATTGACCCGGCATAGAACGCATATAGCCATGAACTGAAAGTAGCATAACTCTAAAACCGGAAGTTGTAGTCCAGAGTTACCAGGCCTATGTTACTCCCTGGTCCGAGCTACCCCAAATTTCAGCCTCGAGACAGTCCTGAACAGACATACAGACAGACAGACAAACAAACGACAATCATAAATATTAGTATAGCCATCTGGACAAAGCCGTGCACACGTTTGGTGATGCCTAGAACAAACTCCTTGAATTTATGATCCGAAGTATAGGGACTATAAATATAGTACTTATAAATCTGAGAAAGGGCGTGGGGGGGGGGATTCTAGATATGTAAAAACACACATGAAATCAAGTTTTCATTCAAATTAAGGGATTGCCCACAAAACTCGCCGTACGCGGTTTGACACGGACGGATCGTTGGGTTTGGAAGCTCGCAGCCCAGCCGCAAGAAACCGGGTGAAACTTTTGCATGTGCAGGATCACAGCCAGTGTATGATCTTCTACGGGGCCGAACGCACGCAAGTGACACATAAATCTCACGCACGGGCTTGTTAAACTTTCCGCCGTAGACTGCCCGTGGTAACACGTGCGGCGGGTTGCGAGCTAGGCTTAAGGTAACATTATGTACAGCGATAATTCCAATTTCAAAACACCACGAAACACCCCCTCCCCTCCGCAACTCCGCAAAATGGATACTCCGGTTCAACACTCCATCTATCCGACCCTCGGTGAATTGGACGCCCCGGTTCAACACTCCATCTATCCCCACCATCGGTGAAATGGATGCCCGGTTCAACAATCTTTCTGTCCCCACCCTCTAAAACGAGCAAGTATTACAACCCCCGGGTTACCGATAGAGATATTTACCTCTACATCTTGATCTGAAGGAGCAAGTATTACCCATGCCCCACTCCCACCTCCACCCCCGGGTTATCAATAGAGATATTTACCTCTACATCTTGATCTGGTGTATAACTTGTTTCTGTGGATGCTGTACTGTGAATCGGTGATGATGGACAATTTCTGGCAGGTTTCATTAATTGTAATAATCGTCTATTTGTCAAGGGTTGGATTGATATATGTTCATAAACATCATCGTAGTCGTCATCTTTCTGAAGAATAGTTTAACACCGAGTAAGACATAGGCTCGTCCATGAGGTTCCCCGGTTGTAGATGACAAGGAGTAGGGTTGCCTATCCAACCTCTTGGGTTTTCTCTCGGTCCTCTCGAATTACCGAAATAAAATTGAACCATGTGTTGATCCCGAAATGACCTAGTTTGTGTCGAGTGGACGTTACATTGGTAATGGGAGAGAGAATGGGGTTTAACGTCCACTCGACACAAACTAGGTCATTTCGGGACTAACATATGGTTTAATTTTATTTCAATAATTCGCTTGCGCGTAGGGGTCTTTAGCAGTGGGAGGAAACCGGAGGACCCAGAGAAACCCCACGAGGTTGGACAGGCGACACTACTCCTTGTCACGTACAACCGGGGATTCGAAACCCATTGGTAATGAACAATGTATAGTCGTTCGGATAAGACGAAATCCGAGGCCCGTGTACAAACTGACGTGCACGTAAAAGATCCCTTGGCAGTTGGAATATGAGTAGGTCGTAGTGATATCGAGAATATATGTAGCCGAAGAGTTGTCATATCATGGTTAAAATTGCATAGTTATCATAGTTAAAATGGCAAAAATCGCCATCGCCATTTTCGAGATGTTTCACTTGTAAATATCACATTACTACGGAATACCATTAGCGTTAATCAATTACAAGATACGGAGAAGCTCATTAGGGTCAATGACATGAACAAAGGTGCTCTAAGTAGTTTATTTCAAGGTCGCAATGCACTGATTTATCGGATAGCAAGGCGAATGAAGTACCCTTTTATGTTACGTGAACGCCACATTCAGGTCATGCCCCCATTAATATCATTTGTTATTTCATGCCCTCATTAAAAACCATTAATTAAGTTCATACTCTCATTAACTTTATAGTCCCGCCAACGTCATACTCTTGTTGATATCATTTATTAATGATTCAAAGATTTCATGCTCTCCTTAAAGCCACGAACGCCATTTCCATTTTTCAGAAAATTGTGTTAATCTAAGCTAGAATGTAGGAGCCTACATAAATTGATTATTAAAGAAATCAAAATCAAGATCGCAACGATAGATAATCTGCAGGCTTGGATTCGATCGAATAAATAGAGACGCATCAAAGAGGTTCAGCGAAACGTAAACACCGAAACGGCTTGTTTAAAAGGAATATAGACGAAACGGCGTTTTTCCAAAACGGCCAAAACTTATATAACTGTGTAAAGTTAAAAAGAAGGAAAACACAACGGCCAACAATGTGATAAAAATTCACCGAAAAATACGTCCGTGGGTTCTTATTAAATATATGCTAGAGCTAAATCTACCTATAGCAGGCCTATCTTTATAGGCCTTAAATGCTAAACTATTAATTAGACATTTATTAACATGAAAAGACGATAATCAACCCTCGATTTCATCGAATACCACCATTTTTTAAACAGATTTGAATCTTATCGCCTTTTAAAATTCACTGTAAAGTTAGGGGCAGCTATGGAGACGTCTACAAATGGTACATTTGGGAACGCTGTTGAAATTTGCAATTTCAGCTAATTTAAAGTTGTTATCAACTAAATATTGTAACTGTTCTTGCGGAATAAATAACCGTGGCGACTTAACTATTCCTTACGAAACACAATCTGAACCTGTTTCGTTTCGTTTTTTATAGTTCAAAATTTCGTTTTACTTGTCTTTACTAAACTAGAATCTGGAAGAGTTGTTATCTAACAGGCGTTCTGGATGATGTGAGGGATTAGCCAATGAAACGGTCTGTTACGGTGAGTTTCTGGTATGAGTTGCACGGAACTGTGGGTAACCCACTCGAAACATCAATGCTGATTGGTTAATCAAATGTCGGAAGTCATGGGGTCAAAAGCCTCTCGTGCGACCCCTGACGCGAACTTCCAGTACAACTGGTCAGATCGTCATGTAGTAGAGGCCATCGAAAGTATAAAAAAACGAAACGAAATATAGATTTTCATTCAGACTGGTCGAAACATGGCATCATCTAATAACTGAAAAGCTTTTCTTAATTAGGAAGGCAGTCAGACACCTTTTCTGTAGTTTCACTTATTTCGGATAATAATAATGACATCAATCCGCTCACATTCATTCTGAAATGAAATGGGGTTTAACATCCTAGTGATCTGCCCCGACTGAGCTAATGAAAAAGGGCATACACCATACAATGTGCTATGAGGGAAATTTTGCCCGGACAGCGGCGCTACGGTCTACTCTTATATTGAATTCCAACTACCAAGGAATCTTTTACGTGCACGCTAATTGTACACGGGACCTCCGTTTTTTGTACCATCTGAACGACTGGACAGTTGTCCTTGTCAGACCCTCCGTCCTAAACTGACATGGGGAAACCACGCAGGAGAATCCCCATAATCTTGCTCGGGCAACACCGGGATCGAACCCACGACCTCCAGGCTAGCGAGCCAGCGTCTTACTCACTTAGCCACCGTGGCTCCCCATTCATGCCGATGTTTTGTCAAAGATCTAGTCAACCTCAAGTTTCGATGATATAACTCATTAAACAAAAATTATCAATAATTATCTTTAGCCGAGACGATAAATACTGACGTCTTAGGACGTCAACTTAGACTGGACCTGGAACCACGCCCTCTGTCATTCGATTGGAAACATTTTGGTGGTTGAAAATACAATGGAGACATTCAGATAGTTGAAAATACAAAGATGAAAAAGTTGCAGTGAATTTGAAAAGTAGAAAGTGAAAAAACATAACTAGATTTTTACATTTTTAATTTTGTCAAGCAATTTTTGTTTTTATACTGATGTAGTAATTTTGTGTTATGTGATATTTTCAAGTGAAAAATCTCGAACAAGACCATTTTTACTATTTTGACTTTGATAATTTTCCAATTTTAACCATGATATTTTCTTTTAATAAAGGGAATAGTTCCCAAATATTGTATTATTCAGGCCTCGAGTTCACAAAGCATTCTCAGACTTAAGTTAAGAATTTACTCAAAATTATTCGTCTTATTTTAATTAAAATATTACCCCTTTATAAAACATTTGTTGTTTTAATATATCAATATGAAACTATGTGCAAAGTTTTGTGTTTCTGGATTAAAGATAGTTGATAGGCCAGACCAATTGAATTTTTTAGTTCTTTAAGGCAGTCTTGATCAATGAATGACGAATGACAAACTCAATTCATTTGGGGGGGGGGATGGCTGAATGGTTAGCGTGCGCGCGATGTATCATAAAATCTGTCATTGAGTCGACTGGCGTGGTTTCGAATCCCAGGTTGTACTTGACAAGGAGTAGGGTCGCCTGTCCAACCTCGTGGATTTTCTCCGGGTCCTCCGGTTTCCTCCCACTGCTAAAGACCCATATGCGCAAGCGAATTATTGAAATAAATTAAAACCACATGTTAGTCCCGAAATGACCTAGTTTGTGTCGAGTGGACGTTAAACCCCAATTCTCCCTCTTTCTCACTCAATTCATGTTTCATAACTTAAACATTTGACACTAAAAGCTTTTGAGAAGAGCAAAACTAATTATTTTTTGTTTTTAAATTAAATTTTGTTTTCCTGAAGAAAATGGAGGCAGGATTTTAACTGGCGTCCCCGAACAACAGAAATTGAAATTGGTGTGGCCTAAAGCCAACATAATTTCCACATTAAACATTCTAACACCAATATTTGACGGCTTTGTAAGCTGTATAATTACCTACTCGGTTTTATTTTATTAGTTTTCAGACAAAGTCATCTACTTGTAATTAATCATTTAATTTTGTCGATTAAAGTTTTCAATTGCCGAATTGTCTTTAAGACAAATAAGGAGATGTTATTACGAAAGAACCACGAAAAATTAAATTAAATATCGGTGTTTTGATGCTGTAAGACACAATCAATGATAGCTGTTTGTTTAATTCATAATTGGTCACAATAAAAAACAAAGATATAACATTGCAAACGTTTATGAAAACAGAACAAAAACCCATGTTTATTTCAGATCAAATATGAGCAAAATCGGTATATATACGAAATAGTTCTGAAATACACTGTGGTGACAGGATTTTGGTGTTGTCTTATGCTTTTGTGACTTTATTGTTCCTGCCATGCTAACTAACTAATCATACTAAACCCAGGCTGTCTGTCTACAGTTAGCCTCGCCTGAGAACAGACAATAAGCTAGTGGACCGACATTTTAAGTCCTAAATCGACGTATACTTCAAGAATTTTGTTAAGTATCTATTCTGCTTCGATTTAATAAAATTGAAAAAGTTTATTTAGTCTTTGTGTGTTTGACAGATGTGAAACGGAGCAGAAACGCATTTCAAAAAAGTATATTAATTTTTGGATATGGCGGCATTTAGAGCAGAGATCTATTCTCGAACTATGAAGACGATAGATCTCTGTGTGCAGAAGGCTAACTAATGTGATTTAACACGAGTTAAAATCAATACACGAGTCGAGAGTCCAGGGACATGCTAGCCGAGAGTCCACATACATGCTATTCGAGAGTCCAGATACATGCTATTCGAAAGTTCAGGGATATACTAATCGATAATCTAGGGATATGCTAGTCTAGAGTCCGGAGCATGCTAGTCGAGAGTCCAGATACATGCTATTCGAAAGTCCAGGGATATACTAATCGATAATCAAGGGATATGCTAGTCGAGAGTCTAGGGACATGCTAGTCGAGAGTCTAGGGACATGCTAGTCGAGAGTCCAGGGACAAGTTATACGAGCGTTACGTGCGATTCTGGAAGGAATCATGATTCAGAGTTACCTGTATATTTGTTATAACTTGTTCCACGATATCCTCTACGTTAACTTCTGTATTTACTTCAATCAGACCAGCTTCTAATTGACCTGCTTCATTATCGTCAAACCCGTGATCACCTGCGTTATCTTCTTCATCAGACGACACCACTTTAACATCTTCGTCTGAATTCAAACTGCTACAAAACGAATGTTAAAACAAGTGTATGAATAAATAAATAAATTAACCTGTATCGAGTTAAACACAAATTAACCTGTATCGAGTTAAACATGGTATAAATAATTAAGTATATGTAAGTAAGAAACTAGGTACAAGTAACTAACTTAGTACAAATAAATAAATAAATAAGTAAGTAACTATTACAAGTAACTAAGTACAAATAAATAAGTAAGTAAGTAACTAACTTAGTAAGTAACTAATACCAAGTAAGTAACTAACTAAGTAACTTATACCAAGTAACTAAGTAAGTATCTAAGTACAACTAACTAACTAAGTATTATAGTACAACTAACTAACTAAGTATCTAAGTACAACTAACTAACTAAGTATCTAAGTACAACTAACTAAGTAACTAACTACGTACAACTAACTAACTAAGTAACTAACTAAGTAACTAACTAAGTAACTAAGTAACTAAGTAACTAACTAAGTAACTAAGTAACTAACTAAGTAACTAAGTAACTAACTAAGTAACTAAGTAACTAACTAAGTAACTAAGTAACTAAGTAACTAACTAAGTAACTAACTAAGTAACTAACTAAGTACAGAGAGAGAGAGAAAGAAATGGGGTTTAACGTCCACTCGACACAAATTATGTCATTTCGGGACTAACATATGGTTTAATTTTATTTCAATAATTCGATGCGCGTAAGGATCTTTAGCAGTGGGAGGAAACCGGGGGACCCGGAGAAAACCCACGAGGTTGGACAGGCGCCCCTACTCCTTGTCACGTACAACCGGGGAATCGAAACCCCTCCAGTTGACTCAGTGACAGACCGTATGAAACAGCGTGCGCGTGCTAACCATCGGCCATCCAACCCCCAAAACTAAGTAGAAGTAAGTAAGTAAGTAAGTAAGTAAGTAACTAAGTAATTAACTAACTACGTACATCTTACTAACTAAGTAAGTAAGTACTAGTAAGTAACAACTAAGTAATTAACACTGGCAGAAACTAAGAAACGGTGAAAATGAAGCGTTTAAATAAACAGATAAATAAATAAATATGCTCCGATATAATCTTTAAAACGACGCCTTTAAATTTTCTAGCGACCCATTCTTTTCGGTTCATGACAAATCAAGGCCAAACTCTAGATATGATTGTATGAACCACGGTGACCTGCACAAGACTTAAGAGTACAAACTGCAATGTGTTCGGTAACTTTGATCCGCGAAAAAACATAAATTTTTCTTGATAACTTTACAAATATCAAAATGTTAGACATGACACATGCCCTTTCTTGTAGAATTAATATCAACTGACTGGCTCTCTAGAATCTAGGAAGAGAGCAAATATAACTCTTGGATAAATTCTGATTTATTGGTCAACATCTGAGAAATTTGAATTTGAGAAACTAGCATTCATTATGTATCGATTCTCTTTAACTTTGTATTGAACAATAAAATTGTCAAGAATTAGCCGATAAATGTTCCTATAATATTTACTACACGCATCTGTTTTATATTTAGATGGAGTCAGACAGCTACAAATGGTATCGGGTGTGCGTTCGAGATAAAACATGTATAAAGCCGGTATCGGCATTTCCATTTTTCGCTTGATCCACGCTAAACTCCATACAGAGAACATGAGATAGAGATTGAGAGGGGGAACGAGAAACATGCGGTATAACGCGCACTCGACACAACTAGGTCATTTCGGGACTAACATAATATATGGTTTAATTTTATTTCAATAATTCGCTTGCGCGTAGGGGTCTTCAGCAGTGGGAGGAAACCAGAGGAACCGGAAAAACCCACCGAATTTGGAAAGGCGACCCTACTCCTTGTCACGTACAAGCGCGGATACGAAATCACGCCACTTCGCTGAATGACCCAACTTTGTGGGTTTTCTCCGGGTCCTCCGGTTTCCTCCCACTGCTAAAGACCCCTACGCGCAAGCAAATTATTGAAATAAAATTAAACCATATGTTAGTCCCGAAATTACCTAGTTTGTGTCGACTGGACGTTAAACCCCATCTCTCTCTCTCTCTCTCTCTCTCTCCAACATTAGCTTACCACTGTTCGTACATCATCAAACTTCATGACAGTTATTTCATCCATATATTGACAAAAGTGAACATAAATATTTCTTTAATAATAGAAATATCTTTGGGTTTAAGTTTAACGATATTACCTACACGTAAACATAACAGGATTTGTTCTCAATTGATTAAAATGGAAGAAATTCTTTATAAGTCGCTATAAATGGCATTATGTGTTTAAAGTAGTTTTTAAAGATAAACCCTTAAAGCATAAGGATAAACATTGGTTTCCCTTTTATTGTTATTATTAATAAATGATACACTCTTTTGACCTATTGGATTCCTATAAAGAAACGTTTGTCTTTGAGAACGGACAAAAAGGTACTTATTAGAAATTGCTACCTTAAGGTCGTTCCGTGTTAAATCCCTCAGTAGGCTAAACCGCACCCTCTTCAAATTTGCTCAAATTTGGTTTATATGCTTATTTTTGCTAAAAAACAAATTTCAGCAAAATTGAAGAGGGTGCGGTTTACCTCACTGACTGATTTGACAAGGAACGACCACAAAGTAGCAATTTCTAATAAGTTTATACCCTAAAGAGTGATGACATTATGATCTTTATCTTGACCATGATCGAACCTTGTGGACGACGTGACCATGCGATGACTTTTCATTAAAAACTTAACCCAATATGTTTTCTACACAATATCAAAACGCTGCAGTTATAATATCTTTTATTTATCTATAAAATAATGTTAGAGATACATTAGCTAAGATTTTACTAAAGAGATGATCATTCTTGATATAACAGTTCAGAAAGAGAAAATTACTTTATTCTGAACGAAGTTATCACTGTTGGAAGTTTGGGCTAGAAATAGACATCAACTGTCTCCGCACTGTCTCCGAGAATTCCCGATCGTTTGATTGACAGACGATAAGGCCCCCCCCCCCCACATATTCTCGATTATCAAGTAACATTCTCAATGCGCTCGGTACCTTCGATTATCAGTCCTTTCAACGACAGTCTCCGGTAGTGACGTCAGTGATTAACGGTAAATGTTAGCTTGATCAACCATTTAATAATTTACTTATTAAATGGACGACTGTAGAAATCCAAGCTATCCGAGGGTTTACAAGTTTATCAAGTAATATTCTCAATGCGCTCGGTACGTTCAATTATCAGTCCTTTCAACGACAGTCTCCGGTAGTGACGTCAGTGATCAACGGTAAATGTTAGCTTGATCAGCCATTTAATAATTTACTTATTAAATGGACGACTGTTTAAATCCAAGCTATCCGAGGGTTTACAGAGTTGATTTTTGGTTTGTTATGTAAATAAAAGTATAAACAATAATTTATATAACATTTGAAGCCTATAGGCAGATTTGTCGCTTAACTAATATATCTTTATTACCCATTTCATCAATTTTGACCAATCGTTTACTGAGCTAAAATCGCTTTAATATCGGCGGCCGCGCTCATTTTGGCTAAAAAATTAAAAAGTGAATGGGCCATATCGCAGGAAGGAACTGTAAGCACAATCAATCTAACGCCTGAATATCTTATTGTTCAGACAGCATGAGCATCTAAACGAAATATTTCAAAAAAATCGAAGCGGGTACGGTTAACTTTTTCCATTATTTTGGGTGATTTGACCAGGAATGGCCCTATTGGCGCGTGTATTATCACGGAGACAGACAGGCAGACATCGAAAACACCACTTGTGCTCAATGGCTAAATCTAGGTTAGGGTTAGGGTTAGTGCAGTAAAGACAAGAAAAACGAAATTTTGAAATATAAAAAATGAAACGAAATTGGATCTGTAAAGACAAGAAAAACGAAATTTTGAAATATAAAAAATGAAACGAAATTGGATCTGTGTTTTAATCAGACCCGGTTTCCTCCCACTGCTAAAGACCCCTATGCCCAAGCGTATTATTAAAATAAAATTGAATCATACATGTATGTTAGTCCCGAAATGTTAGTTTGTGTCGAGTGGACGTTAAACTCTCTCTCTCTCTCTCTCTCTCTCTCTCTCTCTCTCTCTCTCTCACTCAAATTATATCATATATTGATGTATATATACCCACCTAGATAATACCCATTGATTTTAAATGTGTGTTTTGTTTAACCGACAGCAAATCATAAATCGTTATAAACCTAATGGTCGTTTTGATCAATTTGTGTGCATGCCACGTGCTGTTAGTTGATGATTGACATGTTTATAAACTGAGAATTGGATCTATTACCTTAACAAGGCTTCCATGTCCTCGGATTGGGGTGTCTGTTCATTAGGACGACATCTGTTCATTCCCATCTGAATAACTATCTAATCAGGGTTAATCTAAATATTGATTTCTTATATGTATCATAATTATTAATCGATAAATTACGACAACATGATTGGACAAAGTGAAAAGAATATGGCGCGAGATGTCAGAAATAATACGAGATGTGGTAACCAAACGGTCGTTGATTTATTCCAATATTGGGGAGGAGTTATCTACTCCATAAAATATATTGAACTAAACTAGATATTTTATAGAGAGTTTTCACAGCTGCAATTGCATTAAATTTTTGTAGGCTAACTATTGACAGTTGACAGTTGGCGAACACATAATAATACTTAAAGATACATTATGGGAGATTAAATAAAAAGCCTGCACTTCTCTCTATAATAGTTAAAATCTAGATAATGTAAAGGGAATTTGCTGAAAATTTCAGTCAAATTAATCCACTTTGAACTGACAATTTAGCGACTGAATTTTCATCCTAGCCTCGACCATCATTACTAAAGTCGGTACGATAAAAAACATAGTCTCGATTATCCATTTCATGATTAAATCTGGAATGGAAGTCGAACAGCAAATCGGAACCTAATTCAATAAAGATCGCAGTCTAGCGATGACATCGAAAGTTGATTATGGTCTGGATAAGTTAATTAATGTCTAATTAATAATTTAAATAATATGTTAGGCCTTAAAGAACGACTTTCAATAGGCAGATTTAGCTCTTTCATAATGTATGTTTAAAGGATCTAAATCGCTAATATTTGGGACCTAGAAATTGACACAAATGGGCCTCAAGGCATACATGTATAGAAATGTAATATAAATGTATATAAACTGATTTACATTCAATCGTTTCCGTTTTTACTCTAATTTCTAATCAGTTATGTTCGGCGAAATACGCCAGAAGTGTCAATCGAATGGCAATCTCACGCGTCTGGTTATTACAGTCTGCATTCCAGTATTTATTGCGCATGCTGTCGAGATCAGAATATGACGTCACCGTTTGACATAAGTTGTGGAATATGTCTAGCCTCGTTCTTCGTGTCACTTGTTACAAATTGAGCTGAAACGCATTAGGGTCCACGATTCGTGTACCAATGGTAAAATGTTTATTTTGCCTTAAATATTGGATATGAGAAACCCATCTTTTCCCTGTAAGACCACATCAATGTTGATTAAAACTGACAAATAATTCGTGTTTTCAATGTCTAAGATTTAGAGACTTAGCTACTTTAAACAAGAACTCAAATGAGGTACTTGCTTTAAAACGTTGAGAGAATACTCGTTGAGATGTCTCCTAAATAAATCAGTAATTGTTCTTCCATAAGTATGTGTTATAGTTTATTACTCTATCCAGTTACTAAATGCCTCTAAAAGATCACTGGTATAGCCAATCTCTAGGTTTCAGGAAATGACGTCATTTTGATGTAGAGAGTATGGTGGTGGGGGCCACGATATGCAATCTGTATCCATTTCGATACCTCAGTAGGTATTAAAATCATTTATCAATTAATGTATTTTTTAAACAAGTTTAGCCATATTAACACCAAAATAGAAATAGACTCTAAAGCATAATGGATACCATCAATTTAAAAGGATACCATTACATGAGAAATTACCATCAACGACCTATAAATATAAAATTACATAGCATTTATTAGAAATGTTATAAAATAAAATGGGGTGGAGAGAGAGAGAGAGAGAGAGAGAGAGAGAGAGAAATGGTGTTTAACGTCTAACGGAACTAACATATGGAGGACCTGGAGAAAACCCACGAGGCTAGACAGGCGACCCTACTTCTTGTCAGTGGCGGATTAAGCTCCACCAAGGCCTGAGGCGGCAGTTGCTGGGGGGACTATTTAGTTTTTAAATAGGGCCTATTTAAAATGGCGTGGGCCTAATTAATTTCGGGTCAGGGCCTATGTTGATTCCCGTTGGGCCTTAACCCAACCCCCCTAACATTCATTGTCTATGCGTTTTGAATCGTATCAGACAAGTCTAAAAAAAATTTTTTTACAAAATCTTTGGGCCTGAGGCTGCAGCCTCATCAGCCTCAACGTCTTACTTAACAAAGACGAGCATACGGCACGCAGTGTGCTATGAAGGAAATTCTTCCCGGGCAGCAGCTCTATGGCCTATATTCTTATATTAAATTCTAACTGGCAAGGGTTCTTGTATGTGAAATATATGTTGGTAAAGTTGAAAGCAGGTGTATTAATCATATACAGTTTTCTCTTTCTTTCATTACACCTCAACACTAGTAACAGTGCTAATATTTAGTCAGGCCCCAAATTCACATAGCATTCTCAGACTCAAGAATATACTCAAAATTGTTAGCCTTATAGTAAGGACACATTATTGGAGATTCGATCACGAGTTGGCAGTTCTCACTATAATAGTTAAACACTGTATAATGTAAAGGCAATTTGTTGAAAATTTTATTTAAATTGATCCACTATGAACCGAGAACTAAGCGATTGAAATTTCCGCCTAGCCTCGATCATCATTACTAAAGTCAGTACGATAAACAGCATAGTCTCGATTATCCATTTAATCGTTAAATCGTGAAGGAAAGTTATGCAGTAAATCGGCTCATAATCTACTTAAGAACGCAGGCTAGCTATGCCGTCTAGGGTTGATTATGGTCTGGATAGGTTAATTAATGTCTAATTAATAATTTAGATAACATTTCAATCTTAAAGGCTCAATACCACTCTTGTTGTAACTGAATGATATGTCCCAATCTTTATTCTGGTCAACAAATTGTACTATTTTACAATATTCCAATTAATTGATGATACAAATTTCATCTTAACACACCTAATTTAAAAATGTTGAAAAATTCAACATAATGGTTTGAAACGTCTAACGTAAACCTTTTCAAATGAAACTTCGATTTATAAATATTTTCGAACCCTCTGGACAAGTAAAATAGGATGTAATGGATAATTTACACAACAGGTAGGGCACTTAAACATCTAGTACTTAGATAGAGATATTATTTATTTTCTGGAGCTTTCAAGCCAGCAAGAGTGTTATTGTCCCTTTAAAGAAAGACCTGCAATGGGCAGATTTAGCTGTTGCATAATGTATGTTTAACTAAAATATAGTCCTTTATAAAATGTTTGTTGTTTTAATGTATTTATTATAAACAGTGATATAAAAGTTGAGTAAATTCTTTTCTTAAGCTTGAGAATATTTCGTGAACTCGATCGGGCCCTGATATATTTCGCAATATTTTAATTTACAAGGAATTCCAAATCCCTAAAATTATATTGATAGACTTAAACGCCGATAGATAAATTGTTGCCGTGCTATCGTTTGTAGTTGTTACCAAATTTTACGAAATTTCCATTCCTTGCTACTTCGTTAATACTGAATTAAATTGAACCATTTCGAGTGATATTCCATTCCAAGATTCAACGTTAATTATATTGTAGTTTACAAGGGTTATCAAATGCCGTTTTAATATGAGAGCGTTCAGAACGTTCAAGACCCAGGCATGTTGCCTTGAGTGTAAATAGTGTGTGTGTTGGGGGGGCTGGTGCGAGTTATTCCCCTTAGCGATGCTAAAAAAGTTACAAATCGCGGCGATGTCTGGCACATATCTAAACAAGAAGATAACAATCAATTTCATCGAACAATGACAATATTGAGGGAATAGCCTGTTAGTGAGTTTCGTGGGGTGGGTGGGTGGGTTCAGGTGGGGTGGAGCTGGGCATCAGTGATTTTACAACATATGATCAATAACCGAATAAAATTCTACGTGAGTTATCTACCTTGATAGTATCCATGGAAACGAGTGTAACCATATTTTAAGTCCCCAGCCTTGGGTTATAACCGAGAATATATATAATATATCAGCCGACATGGATATATACAAATGACTGGTAGAATATGATGTATCCAGCTTGGTGTTCTGAAAAATAATTAAAACTGCACATGAATTATTGATTTCAACTGAAGCTAATGACATGGAAGGAGTTGCCAGAACTGAAGGTGGCTTGGGGGAAGGGGGTGTGGTTTAACGTCCACTCGACACAACAAACTAGGTAATTTCGGGACTAACACATGATTCAATTTTATTTCAATAATTCGCTTTCGCGTAAGGGGTTTTTAGCAGTGGGAGGAAAACAAAGGACCCGGAGAAACCCACGAGGTTGGACAGGCTACCCTACTCCTTGTAACATACAACTGGGGAATCGAAACGACGCCAGTTCACTCAATGACAGAATCGTTTAAGCCATTTCATTGATCGTTATTGGAAAGTGGGAGAGTCGCGGCGGTTCAGTGAGTAAGACGCTGGCTCGCTAACCAGTTGACTCAATGACAGACCTTATGATCTAAAATGCCATTAGTTCTCACCACCACCTCTGAGAACCATTAACAATAAGACTTAGAGCGACTGATGTGTGAGAATATTGAAACAGTGTTACATACGTCTCATGGTCTAATTGTTCTTTATCACTTACTGGACTAACAAGACGCATCACGATAGGTCGTAATTATCACCGAATATTTTATCTAGCAATAGTCAGCATCTCCTACAAATATACGCAATGGTTTGCTTTTTAGGGAATTTTAAATAACCGGTCTCTTCATGTTCCGGCTAGGGGGGGTGGGGGGTGGATGGCCGAATGGTTAGCACGTGTGCGCTGTATCATAAGGTCGGCTCTCCAATCTCGTGGGTTTTCTCCTGGTCCTCCGGTTTCCTCCCACTGCTTAAGATCCCTACGCGCAAGCGAATTATTGAAATAAAATTGAACCATATGTTAGTCCCGATATTACCTAGTTTGCGTCGATCGGACGTTAACACCCCCCTCTCTCTCTCTCTCTCTCTCTCTCTCTCTCTCTCTCTCTCTCTACTGTTTCGAATCAACTTACAATTAGCATTTTAAATGGACTTGCCGTTGAAATGAAATGGGGTTTAACGTCTTACTATTATAAATGGACTTACCATTAATAGTAATATTATATATGGACTTAGTGTTGATTGGACTGTGTTTACATTATAAATGGACT